ATCAAACTACTTCAAAGTTTGCCATCTTAATACATCTACCCCACGTTACAGCAATGAGGAAAATTAGTATTGATTTTCACGTACTAGGAGTCTGGTTCATTTATTATTGTTAACGCAGGTGTCTCAAACTGTGCCTTCCTTTTTCAATTCTTTAAGTTAAGTAACTTTTTCCTCCTTGCTGTAATAGTTCAGACATTCTGCTGGGTCGAGGTTTAAGTATCAACATAGTCTTGATATAAGATACCAACAAGAAACCCAGAAAAATTGGAGGGTGTCACACATATCTTATTTAACAGATTACACCAGTGGCAATTTCACTCCACTTCTGGCTCTTGCTCTATAGCTCCTCTGTCAAAGAAGCCCAACTCTTACACTTACACTAAATATCCCCTAACTGTCATCAACCCTGAGAATCCCTGCACTGAATTCTCCTTCCCAATCCAAATTTACTTGGGTTCATCTGTATTCCAAAAGAACTTTGTTTTCTTTTTTCTTCCCTTTCCTCAACCCTTTTAATCCTCTAGTTTAAGCAATTAGCTTTACAAATATTAGCTGCAATCAAGGTCTAGCACATGTGGTAATTTTCCCCCTAATAAATCAATCAATTCTTTCTGTGGAGTGTTTTTTTTTTTCTTTTACAGCCATCAGAGAATTACAATTCTACTTGAGGATCACCAGCGACTTGAATTAGTCAAAAAAATGTCAATCAAATTTGCCAGATTTTGCTTTAAAGATGAGAAAAATGGGATGGATTCACAAAGGCCTCTTGTCTTAGAATACGAAGCTTGATAAGCCCTTGTTGAATCCTTTTTAGAGAGGCCTTGGTGTATAATGATCCATTTGGAAGAAAATCAAAATCAGTATTACCATTGACAAATCAGACAAAACCTAGAAACTCCTATTAAATAATCTAAAAATTAATAATTGAAATAATCAACCACCTAGTATCTCTAGGCAATGCAATATTCTGTAATAGCTAACAGGTTAGTACAGCAAAGAAAAAAAAAGAGAAGAGATACAGCAAATGAACAAATTTTAATTCCATAACTTGCAAATAAACTTTTTTAGTCAGAAGGGAACTAAAGAATATTTGGTCCACACTTATTACTGTGCTTCTCAGAGCTGACTTTAGGGCCGGGAATGGGGTGCTCTTTGAGAATAAGGAGTGAGGGGGGCCCAGTGGCAGCCACCAGAGATCTCATCTTCCCCAGCATAGATGTCCATTTTGATCTCATCTTCCCCAGCATAGATGCCCATTTTTTATCTCTTATTCTACCCAATAATTCAGTTGAGAAAATGTTCTCTCTGGTTAAAAATAATTTGAGAATCACCTATGCAGCCTGAGACCACTCTTTTCATGATTAAAATTAATGCCAGAAAAATTAAGGAATTCTTAATTTAGTGATGGACTTGTACCCAGACCCTGGATCATATCTTTCTTCCAGTGCTCTTTGCACACCACGCCACACTGTCTCTCATGCAGAGGGAGTAATCAGGTGAGAATCTCAAGGCCTTTAGATGTGAGACTTTTTTTGGTTGTGGGGGAGAGGGTGGGGCGGGGAGGGCGGCCAGGGAGGGGATGGTTTTGCACAACTATAAGACAAAAACAATGAAGCTAAATTAGTGTGAAAAGAGGCATAAATACTATATTGGACACAGAGACACATTCCCTATATTCTTCCTAGTAACGCTAAAGAATTATATCATCCAGAACCTGAAAGGAGTCATGAGGGAGGATGGAAGGGCCTCGTTCCATTTTCTTATGTCACCAAATGAATTGCTATTAAGATAGAGGGAAGTAAAGATTTTAGTAGGTTACTTGGTGAAAACTTGTTGACATTAATGACTCAAATTCTCAGAGAGGCTGCAAGGAAAACGGTGTCATCACTGTCATTCAAGTCATTTAAGATGAAATTTCAAAAGAAGGCTGTCAAGCATAATGACTGCCACGTTCTATTACATCCTGAAGGGTGGTTCGTACACACTGCTATGCAGCCTGCGGGTGGCTGGTATTGAAATCTGAAAAGAAGCTGCTCAGGGAGGAGGTGAGGTGGGTGTATGACCCAAGGGAGGCTGCTTTGCAACTAGGAGACATCACCGTTGACATTCACATGGTGACTTGGGGTAAATCTATAACCCAGGGCCTGGCCTTTAGCATTGGGTATGCTGAAACCTAACCCTATTAGGACATTTCAACAAGATCATGCTCTTAGAGCTAAACAAAATTCAGGAAAATTTGAGCTATAAATGGTATAAATTTATTAATTTACAATGAGAATATTTTCCTCTGGCAATTGGATGTTCATGTCTTCATGCATTCCAGCACCAAGACAGCTGCAAAGCCTAGTTAGTGATCACAAGGCAGCTGTGTAAAATGAGGTAGGAGCCCTGGTTCTCAGCCTTGGCTGCATATTGCAATCACCTGGGGTGCTTTAACTCTAAGGCCATACTCTAAAATCAAGTAAATCTAAATCTCAGTAATTAGAACCCAGACACCAATAGCTTTAAAATCACCTCAAGTGTTTCCAATGAGCAACTAAGACTGAGAACCACCGAGTTAGAGAAAAGAGGTCATCCAGGCCACCACAAGTCTTGAGGCCCCATTCTTCCCACATAGGGATCCATACTCTTATATGTCATCGGCCAGTGGGATTTTGTTTTGTTTTGTAATTTTAAGCTGGGAACTGATATAGGTTTGCCAACTTTTTAATTTGCCAAGTAAGGACATTAAAAGTTCAACTTATTAACAACGAAGATTAGGAAGGATACAAGTTCAGGATAAAAGGGTAACTCAGTATGTTGTATTTATTTTTCTCATGTTTCTACAGATCAGGGAAAATTTCACTATAGACTGATGCAAACTTAAAAACTGGTGTGATCTAACTGCTCTATGCATCAGGGCTTTTCTTCTTGGACAGCTATAGATATACTTGGCTGTGTTTTGGTTCATTAAGCCACTGTCTTATGCTACTCCTCTGTTACCACATCCTTTCTGTCAAAGTATTAATAATATTGATTAAGTTGTGGGTAATTTCTGCTCTCAGGCTTAGAAATGTTCCACCTCTTCCAATTACAGAATATGTTGATTTAATTAGTGAAACTCTCCTTAGACATCTTAAACTAAGGTTTCTGAAGTGGGTGTGGCACATGTATCCCCAGAAAACCACTTATTGTGGGCAATGGTGTCCTCTTGTTTTGCTAGTGGACAATGATGGCAATTACTCTAAATCAAGTAGAGAATTCATTGGGGTGCCAAATAGCCTGTTTATTCTGTGTCAGTTTACATGAACTAAAAAGACTTACTTTTATCATGAACCCAGTTTTGAGTGCTTCTTTTGTGTATGCCCCATATTTCTGAGGGTATGGTTTATTCTGCCCACCCCCACCCCTGAAGGGACAATGGCATTTTTGAACCAGTTTTATGCTTAGTTGTCTATCTTTAACAAGAAAGCCTCTGGCAACTACTAAGAGAGAATAGCTGTGCCAAAAATCCAAGACTATACCTTAAAGTTACCCTCAAAGTACACGCAACCAAGAGACTCATCTATGCTGACAATGGTGTAAAATAAATTTTCGTTTATTAATTTCTTTTAAGCTGCCACGCTTAAAGGTAGATTGAGATACTAAAAGCCAGCATAAACATATGCTTTTGACCAACTGGGAAAATTCTATTTGCAGATGTCTTTTTTCCAAGCACCCAAGATATATAACTAATGGTGGGCTACTCTGTCCTCATTACTCACAATTCAACACAACCCAAACGGAAGGGCTTGTCATCTCTTCAAGGTCAAGTGCTGCTTAGTGTAGCACATAAACCTTAGAATCAGAAGACTTGGATTTGAATTAAGTGCCATTACTCTCTTGCACAAATTGATCTCGCTGAACCTCAGTTTCTTTATCTTTAAAATGGGGATATGGTCATCATATTTACCACCACTGTCATCATCATCATCTTCATCATTATTTTATATGGTAATTGCGAGAATTAAATAAGATAATTTACGTTAAATGCTTAGCAAGGTGCCAGACATACTAAGTTCTTATTAAAAGTTAAGAAATTTTGTTCTAAAAGTTAAGAACTCTGTTGGTCAGGGTCTAGCACAATAATGTGGCATGCACTTCAGTACATACATGCACACACACACACACACACACACACACACACACACCCCTGCTATCTGTTTGCTGGAGGAGAAAATTCATTGGAAATGTAGAATTGCAAAGCTATCACTGAATTCTGAACTTCAGTTTTCAGATCTTAACAATTTAACCAAATTTACTTTGCTACTTAATCTTGCTCACGAATTTGTCATTTGTCTCTTTAACTGATTACTTCTGACCCTTGCTTTTCCATGGCAAATTCTTAGAGCTTTCCACCTGACCACAACGCCTTCTTCCCATGATAATGCCCTTGTCTTCTTCAGAGATCCTGGTGCTTCTCGAACCCAGAACCATATTCCCTTGCTATGGTCCTGAAGCAGCCAAATGTTTTAAAGGAGGTGTTTAGAAACTTAGATCTTGGCACCTGCATCTCCATATTTTTGTTTGCCAAAATATTTGAATCAAATTATCTGTTGATACATTGATTCTAAATCATGGATCTGAGAGAAAAGGAGTTAGGAGGACAAGCTCTAGTGGTTGGTCTCGGGCACTTCATATCCATGCAGGACACAATTAAGTCCAATGTTTTGTCTTGCTACAGTTGACATTTTAAAAAAATGAATTAATACCAATAAACATATGTTCTTTCTACCTCTGCCAAAATTCTTCTTTTACCTGCACTAAAAAAAAAAAAAAAAAAAGAAAAGCCTACAAAAATAAAAACACATCAATAAATGAACTTCTCAGGTTGCTGAAAATTTACCATAGGAGCCAACCCTGTTTCTGAAAAGTTTCAACTCATCCAATCAGACAAAAGGCTGAGGAAAGAGACGGCATTTATCAAGTTACACGGAGGACTCCATCTGTCATCCTAGACCTTTGTTACCAAGTGACACAAGAGGAGATACTTGAAGGCAGTTTGAAAGAGTTTTATTTTACAGATTCTTAGTCCAAAGATTTCAAATTAGAGAGAAGTAGAAGCAGAAAATAGACAAGCCACGTAAGTATGATGAAGAAGCCTTCATCCTGACATTCTACTGGCATCTAACGTGGCTAGAACCTCAATCAATGGTGAAGTAGCCTTTTCAGCTGAGATCTGTCTGTTCAGTGTCTATAATAAATGCGGTCAAAGGGGCAGTCGCTTCTCAGCACTCACAAAGGTCTTGTTTTTGAACCTCACCCTCACGAAAGCCAATTTTCATCATGCCAAACCAACAGAAGAAAGTCATTTTTTGCACGGCCGGGGTGTTAAGCTTCTTGTGTGCCCTGGGAGTTGTGACAGCCCTGGGGACACCCTTGTGGATCAAAGCCACCTTCCTCTGTAAAACCGGGGCTCTGCTCGTCAACGCCTCAGGGCAGGAGCTGGATAAGTTCATGGGTGAGATGCAGTACGGGCTTTTCCACGGAGAGGGCGTGAGGCAGTGTGGATTGGGAGCAAGGCCCTTTCGGTTCTCATGTAAGTAACAACTGCATTTGAATTATTTAATGCTTTAGAAACACTCGTCCCAGTGTTACCAGGAATTGTTTTTGAGAGCCTTGCCCTGTCTCTTGTAGGATATTTTAAACAGCTGTAAACCATTTGAAATACCTGGGACTCTTCTGAGCACTCTTCTTCCTAGTTTTTATATTTTGTGTTTATTTTATTCATTATTTCATTCTTGCTATTTTTATTATGACAACATATAGTTAATGAGTAGCTATGGGGTTAATGTTTTTGAAAAGATAAGCAATTAAAATTCTTAAATGTTAATATTTACATAAGAAATTATGAGATCTTTTTAAAAAGGGAGGGACTTGGAGAAATAGGAAAGCTGTAAGAGATAATTTTTGTTTTGTTCTTTAAAAAAAGGTCGGTGTTAAGCAACCCTAGCTGCTTTTTCACCTTGCTCATGACTTTGTTTCCTGTCTACTTCCCTATTATCCTTGCTAGGACCTGTCCTGGTGATAAATATTTTTTTAAACCAGTTTGGAATCAATTGGCTATAGAAATTTTAAACAATCGGCTGTGCTAACTGGGGAAAAAATAGTTGTCCATTTAGTATAGAAAATTTGCAACTCATTGACCTTCAAATCAGGTAGAGAATTTGAGACAGGTTTCCTGTCACAATTTTTGTGAAATGGAAGTGTTATCTACAGTATTTTTAACCTGTTTATCTTAAGAAGAGAAATTTTTAAAAATTACCATGTGAATAGGCAACTCGTTAAATGAAAATTAATAAGAAGTCATTTGTTATATCTCTCACAACACACATTCAGAAATTATTATTTCAGAAGAGTTGGTTTGGAAGGATCTTATGAAGACACAGTCAGTAAATTAGTGCATAAATCACTCTTCAGGAAAGGAGGTTACCAATTGAGGCATTTAAAATGAATTATTAGTTTGCCTCTGTATTTTTTCTCTAGCATAGGTAGAAGGCTAAATTAATTAAATTTATTATTAACATATGCAGTATCTAATTAAATTTCAGTGCTGGACTATTTATATTTCTGCAACATTCCTTATATCTTCTTAGTAGTCATTGGACACCAACCTTCAACTCACATGGTGAGTTTGTAAGTGTTACAAATTTTCATAGGGTGCCAGAAATTCATCTTTTCAAGAGATTATCATCCACTAGATTTGATGAAGTGGAAACCAACTCTTTTCACTGAATGGCTTTAGTTTATTAAGATAATGGGGCTGTTAAGAGTTGCTTAGTTTTCATTGTGGCTGAGGGAAGAACAAAGCAGAATGTTATGTGATTTGTAACTGTATTAAAAAGTAAAAAAAGAAAAAAGATGAGTGAAATGATTTAGCCATAAGTCACTGGCAGCTAAAACATGAGTAAAGCTTTGCACAAATGAATCTATACAAAAGCAGGGAGCGTCAATGAATTTTCTGAAGCCTTTGCATTTTCTATCCTACACATACTGTAGGACAATAATATGTTTTCTAATAACGCTTACTAGACACTAAGCACTATGTACATTTCATCTCATTTAATCTGCATATGGCCACATTTCTCTGTGGTTCAATGAAAGTTGTTTTTTTTTTTTTATGGCTATGTCTTATGCTGGTCCTATCTAAGATGTTGTTCTCATCAGGTGTTCCTCACTTTGCTTTCTCTGAGGACTCACAGAACTGATGAGTTTAAACAACGCCCTCACCTACATCACAGAATTGCATTAATTCCCATGATACTCAACGTTTTCCCTCAGCTTAGTGAAGAAAATTTTACATTTGCTTGTTTGTTCTTTGGTCACAACTCTCTCTATATACTATCCTAGACATAATAAAATCTTATTTCTGAGGTCCAGCAAAGTATACTTACAGTATATATTTTTCCATCTAAGCAGAAAAGTATCTTTTTCAGTGTAACACGAGAGAAAATGGAAAAAAACTGTAGAATAGATCCAATGGACTAAGCATAATGCTCATTTAAATAAATACCCCTCTGAGTGTTAAAAATTTCCTAATTAATGTAGCTTTAGGACACACTGCACCCAGTTTATACTGTTTATACTCTTCTTGCAATATAGCTTGGAGGTCCACATCTTCCCATTCAAAATGGCATCGCCTGTAAATGATGTTCTATGAACATATCCTTGAAGGTAGAGAGTCCTCTGATATTCTTTCAGATTGAAAAACATAGCTCTGTTCATATAAAAGCAGAATAGGTCTAATACTGTCTTCTTAATAATGGCTTCCTCTGAACAAAATCCAGTCTTCGAAAAGTTCAGGATGGATAATACTTTTCTGTTTCTTTCAGAGTCCAACTTATAATAAGAGCACAACTCAGTTCCCAGAACTTCCCTCTTTCTCATTTTTCCTTTAAAATGTTATTAAGCAAATGTTTGGATTTGCAGAAACTTTCCAGTATAGGAGGAATGGAAAAGGTAATTCATCAAAGTATCAGTCGTTTTGTGGCCAGTTTTCTTCATGTTGTCACACTATCTTCAGTTAATATGAATTTATATTTTAATTCTGTTGGATTGCTAAATGTTACATTGCCTACCAAACTTTTCATTTAGATTAACATTGGCCAACAAAAATATAATGCAAGCCATAAATATGAGCCACAGATTTAATCTTAAATGACCTAGTAGCTGTATTAGAAAAAAAAAGAAACAAGTGAAATTAAAATTAATTTTTAATGACATATTTTCTTTAACCCAAGATATCTAGAATACTATCGTTTTAACTGTTAACATAAAAAAAGTATTGAGCTATTTCACATTCTTTTTTTGAGTGCTAAGTCTTTGAAATCTGGGTTGTATTTTGTACTTACAGCACTTCTCAGTTAAGACAACCACATTTCAAGTGCTCACTAGCCAGTCCAATGTGGCTTATAGTTATCAGACTGGACAGTGCAAATTTAGATGGAGATTTACTATGAATAAATTGGGCATTGATGGTGTCTATATTCTAAATGAATTTTTGCTTGGTTGTCTACAAGTTTATGTGCATTACTTTTATATGCACTTGTATGTGTCACTATTAAAACCCAGATGTGTAATGTAACATGAAGATGAAGAATGGACCAGGAAAATAGTTAGGTGATGTCATTTTTATTCCTATTAAATGTTCCCTATTAACTACTCTATCTCTTTTAATTACAACAAGAATCTCCCCTGCCAGCATGCACAGTTATGCTGGGAAAACTTCTGCCTCATTTACTCTGGCTGGTTCTCATCCATTTATAGGTCAATGGTTCATTTTCTAGAGGTCACTAGCATTCATACCTAGCACACAATTTCATTCATTATAATGAAGAATTGTTTTTCTTTAAAGGCAACACAACTGGTGGGCTTAATTTTTCCTAATATGTCACCTGTAAAATTTTAATAATGATGTTTAAACTCTAAATGCACCAGCAAGACAAAAACTGCCAGTTTTGAGCTCAGTGTGTGTCGGTAAGTTTCTGTTCTGGTGATGTGAAATACTGCAAAGCATCATCAAAATATGATACCCAAGAATCAAATGGTATCAATCATTCCTAGATATGCTGATCTATTTATTGCTAAGACAGTTCAATGAGCTGATAAAAACATATGGAATCTTTTTTTTTTTTGAAATGTGAAAGATAAAAATTAAGCAATTATGTATCACAGCTTGAACTTTAGTCATACTTTAAAAAGCATTTTAATTTGGAAGTCATGATTAAAAATTTATAAAAAAAACTTAACAGAGGTTTAGCTTATTTCATATTTTAGAAAAGCAGAGTGTCTTTACCAAATAAAGCATGTGATACAAATTGCAGAAGGGATGTTGAAACTACTTCGACAAACAAGCAGGTGGCTTCTCAAGCGTATTTTGGGGTAGAAGAGTGGGGATTCAGGATCTCTGTGACCTCTGACACTGTCTCCATAATCTCCTGCAAGTGTGACTCTTGTCTCCTGCTAATCCCACTTGCCCCAGGTGATCTGCTGGTCACCATCCTTATAACCTACACCTCTCCTATCACCCTACCAAACCTTGGCAGAGCTGCAAAGGTCTTTGACATACCCTCTTCTGATAACAGCGCCTGTCTCTTCTCTTTTCCTTGGTGTGTGGCCTGTGCGGAAGCAGGCATGGTGGGGCTGGGAGGAAAACCTATGGGGTTCACCTTCAAAGACTAATGGTAAGAGAGATGGGGAAAGGAAGCCACCTGCACCATTTCACCCAGCATGCACGAGGGCCCTCATGCCTTTTAGCCTGGGGCCTTATTGTCTTGTCTCACTCACCCATTAAAACAATCCAGCAAATAGAGATTTTGTTTTCCTCTCATTGAGAAAAAAAACTGTTAGTGGGATGAAGAGAGTCAAGTTTAAGAAGCACTAGTGTGAAGGAAAAGGCTTCAATTTCTCTTGGCCAAATAATTTTTTCTCTTCTCTCCTTCCCAAACCTTGATGTTCACTCTATTATTTCAAATCACCTTGTATTATAAGAAGTTGAGAATGTGCATTTCTCCATAAGGAGATCCTGAGCCCCAAGAAGGTGGGGGCTGCATATTGCTCATCCTGGTGCTCTCTCAAACCAGGAGCCAGCACAGTTCATGTCACAAAGGGGTTCTTAATAAATGCTTGATTTGCTGACACCATTGAGATTAGGTGGCCTGGGTTTGAGGCCACTCATTGGATTAGACTTTGAGCAAATCACGTCATTTCTCTGCTTTTCAGTTCTTGTATCTGTAAAACAGGAATTAAAACTAGATGATTTCCAACATCTCTTATAGCTCAAACTCTCTATGATCCATATAACGAGGGCCTGGCTGGTCTAGAAAAGGTCCTTCCAGCTTGCATGGCCCCTCTGGTCTCAGTCTCATAAAGCTTCCACCGACGGATTTCAGCCCATCATCAGGAAGTGGTGGGTTTTGTGTGCCTTCACTCTTTGGTCCTCAAAGCTCACGATTCTTAAGTATTCTGAAATAGCTACCATTTATCAGGGCTTAAATGAATTTCATTATCAAAGTGAATGCTTCTTTTCTTCCTGTCATA